TTCACTTCTGAGTAGTATTCCACTGTGTGGCTTTACCATATTTTGTTTGTTATTCACCAGTTGATGAACATTTGGGTTATTTCAAGTTCTTAGCGATCATGATTGAAGTCTGTGAATATCAATGTACAAGTCTTTGTAGGAACACGTTTTCATTTTTCTGGCGTAGATACCCAGGAATGGAATGATTGGGTCGTATAGTTCGTGTCTGTTGAACTTATATAATGTTGTATACCAACCGTACTTAAATAAACAAACGAATATTTTTGAATTTTAAAAAAATAAAAGAGAAACTTATGAAACTGCAGGTAATCGTCCTAGGCAGCTGTACCATTTTACGTTCCTACCAGCGGAATATCAGAGTGCCGGCTGTTTCGCGTCCTTGGCAACACTTGGTATCGTCAGTCTTTTAAATTTTGGTTATCCTTACGGATGTGTAACAGTATCTCATTTAGATTTTAATTTATGTTTCCCTGATGATTAGTAACGTTGGGTATCTTTTCATGTGCTTATTGGTGTTTCGTGTATCTTTAGTGGCGTGTGTTCATATTTTTTCCCCTTTTTTAAAATTAGGTGTCTTATTGTTATAAAATGATTGTAAAAATATATTCTGGATACTATAAGATGGTCTTGACTTAGATTTTATTGGGTATGAGTCTTGTGTTCTTAACCTATATAAACTTTTTAAGAAAAAAATAGTCGTTTCTCCCTGATCTTTGTTCACGATGCCTCTAACAGGTCCAGCTCTCAGGAAGTACAAGTGATTATATTAAAAGACACTGCAAAGTAATAACAGGATCATTATTTTAGCTTAGGGGGAAAAAAAACACTAAACCCACTCTAAAAGTCTGATGTGAAACAGTTAAATTTAGCAGCTAGGTTTTCTTTAGAGTCTTGATAGATAGTAGATGCTCTTTTAATTCTGTGCATAGTCCTGTAATTATGTAGATATTCTTTTCTTTGTATTGTGTCTCCTTAACACTAGATCAGATTTTCCACTATTAAATTTAAGACAAAAATGTATGTAGAAATGCTTTCTTTTTTCAAAGACAGCAAGGAACCATTCTCGTATTTTCAAAATTTTGCCCACGATAATTAAAGCATTGGATGCCTTTCCCTTTTTTTTTAATTCTTAGTCAAACTCTTTCCTACTCTTCCTTGCTCCATTTTCATTCTTTCTAACTTGGCAGTTTCGTTATTACCAGTTTGACTCCTGACATTTTCTCCCTTAAAGAAATAAGAGAAATTGCCTTAAATAGAATTTAGAAACTGGGAAGCAAAAACCAGGTTAGGTCTTGGGTTTACCTTAAAGCAGAGGTCCCCAACCTGCAGGCTGGTACCAGTCCATGGCATGTTAGGAACCAGACCGCACAGCAATAAGTGAGCAGTGGTTGAGCGAGCGAAGCTTCATCTGCATTTGCAGCCGCTCCCCAGCACTAGCATCACCGCCTCAGCTCCACCTCACATCGTCAGGCATTAGAATCTCATAGTAGCACCAGTCGGTCCCTGGTGCCAGAAAGGTTGGGGACCACTGCCTTAAAGGATCTACTGAGATACTGTGTGATTTTTTGAGATGGTGGGGATGCTTGGCTTCTAGAACCTTTGCAGCTAAAAGCCAGATTTCTTAGCCATATGTTTCAAAATCTAAAGATATTATAAAATATAAGGTCACTTATGATTTTACAAATGCCCTAGGCCTACTAGTAGATTTTTATTATTTTTTGCATTCTGATTGGGACTGAGCAGGTCACAGCCACCCAATTATTAGTTGAGAGTTGAGAGTGTTCTTTTCGCGTTAATTGAAGTTGTTCCGTGAAAGGAAGCCAGATACCATTAGACAGGACATCCTGTGATTCCCTTAGTTTACCATGGCCAAGGACGTGACTTTTTTTTTTTTTTAATAAGATGATTGCTTGTTTCCTTTACTGTTAACAAGGGAGCCCAGAACTGATGATGTCCATTTGGCTTTAATGACTCTAACTAGTGAACATCTAACTTCCTCCCCCTCGCTCCCCCCGCCCCGCAAAAAATTACCTGAAGAATATAAGAAACTTCTAGTCTTATTCTTTCCCAAATCCAAGGGTCTTACCATGTATCTGCCCCTCTGTTATCTGTGTACCTGATTAGATTTGAGCAGGGCTCAGTTCTTACCCACTTTTTACTCAAATGCTCAGTTTCTGCACTTCCTTTTGAAAATTACAGTGTTATTACACTGATGATAGTAATGTTTTAACTTTTGATCTATAACAAGGCAGTAGATAAGAGAGCAGAGAGGTACTACAAATTAAGTGTGTGTGTGTGTGTGTGTGTGTGTGTGTGTGTGTGAGAGAGAGACAGAGAGAGAGAGAGAGAGAGAGAGAGAGAGAGAGAGAGAGAGAGAGAATGTGCACGTATTGGTTTTTGTCAAGGGTTGTTGAGTACTTCTGATGCAAAAGTCTCAGTCTCTTCTTTATTTTTCGTTCCAGTAAATAAATGGTAGGTGAGGCTGTTGGTTTAAAAAAGAAAAAAACTCTTCTTCCAATCCAATATACAAGGAAGATAGGACTGGTATCTGGTTGCCCAAATAAGAGTACTAGAAAACTAGGTAAGGAGAAAGAAGGATGAACTCCACTGTGGGGTGGAATTATAGAAAGATAGAGGGAAATTCATTCGCTGGCCAAAATGAATCATTTCAGCTGGGAAAGGAAGTTTTGGGGACAATGGCTTGGAGAACTGGTGACGAAATAGTGCTCCTAGTTTGGATAGTGTTTCCCTAGTTTGGAGAGCTACATCAATTTGGCCGAACGTTACTAATCTTAGTTCAGCTACAGCAACAACCGAAATTTCCATTTCCTGTTCTCATAATGTGCAGCCATCTTGTATGTAATTTGCAGTATGTTCTCTGGGGTTGGGGTATGGGTTTATGTGGAAGCTGATCAGTACCTTGTCCACTGAGCTACTATCTAAGAAGTTTAATGTTACAATTACTCTGTTACATTTTGAAATTGGCCATTTTGTGGCAGAGTCTGTTAAGGAAAGAATTAAGTGTAGATGGCACCAAGAGGTGGAGTCAAATTCACAAATTTTAACCCTGGCCTGCACTTCACTCATCCTTTTAGGCTTAATTTTATTTTCATTTCCATTTCAAAATGTTCTCATGAGTTTAAAAATGAATTTTACCATAGTGAAAATACAGACCTTTAGATAGGCAGCAATCTCTTAAGAGTGGGATACCAGGAGATTTATTTATTATTAAAGTAATAGATTTTTCTAAACACGTAGTCAAGATATGAACCTGAAGTCTTTTATTAGTGTTGAAAAAAGTTCTAAGCAGTAATTAACTTGATCTCTTTTCATTTTGACTAAACTACCACAAAAACAAACTGAGAAACTGAGTAGTAACTGGAAGTGTAAAATATGGTGATTCCTAAAATATTAGCATGGCTTATATGTTACAGCTGGCAGGTTTTTGAGCCAAAAATCATTCCCAGTAGTAAACTGAGTTTACAAGTCACCCAAATCTCTACATTTCAAGCTCTTCTTCAGAGAGAATGCTAACAACGACCAAATCATCTTGGTTAAATTGAAAATGTAAAATGAGGCCTTGGTAGGACTAAAAAAGGAAAATGGTTTTACCAAAGACCACAGTTGTGGCCTCATTCGGAGTTCTTTATTCTTCCTGCTTACTGTTATGACATAAGAAAGACCGAGAACAGAAGGGGACTTGGTTGAGAGCAACAATCCTCGAATCAGTCCTAGGTCAAAATCCCAGCTCTTCCACTTAATAATTGTGACTGCACAGGTGTCTCTATCCTTTCCCACATAATTGCATAAAAGCAGTAGCCATCACATAGCTTTGTTGTGAAGACCAAATGAGAAAAATGCATGTTAACTCCTTATTCCTGTTAAGTAAAGGATATGCAAAGAGGCGAGTCACATGTGCCCAGGTTTATCCATCGGGTTGATGGTAACTGTGGAAGCCCACACCCCTCACTCCTAGATCAGTGCTCTCATGAAGTTGAAATACAGCTGGTGAGCTTTTCATACAGTGTTGGAGACATGGTGAATGGCACATTTTTCTACCTCTGGTTTTTAGACGTAGAACGCAAAGTTCTTCAATCCACTCAACTCTAACTTATCCCCTCCTAACCATCTCACTTAGCACTAGAGACACATATCGGCAGTTGCTTACATGGTTTCAGGGACCCTGTGAACTTCCCCTCCATCTCACTTAGCACTAGAGACACATATCGGCAGTTGCTTACATGGTTTCAGGGACCCTGTGAACTTCCCCACCATCTCACTTAGCACTAGAGACACATATCGGCAATTGCTTACATGGTATAATTTCAGGGACCCTGTGAACTTCCCCTCCCCACAAAATTCTCCCACATATGCATTCATTTGGCCTTTATTTATTGTGCACCCACTAATGTGCCGAGCACCGCCATCGACCCAGGAGGTACAGCAGTAAACAAAATATATTCTGTAAAAGACCTGCTCCCATACAGCTGACTTTATAGGGACAGGAGGTAGTAAACAGACAATAAACAAATGAGATAATTCCAGACCGTGTTAGTATCACCAATGGTGTGATGTGTGAGTAACTGGAGGAGACCACTTCAGAGGGTGGTCAGGGAGCACTTGCTGAGGACTTGACATTTGAGCCCATCCTGAAGCATGAGAAGCAGTCAACAGTGACAAGTGCCCAGTGCTGGGAACAACCTCTTCCTTTGCATGAGGCTTTGAGCCCCGATTATCCCTAAGAATTAACCCTGAAATTGTCATCCTTCATTTTTTTTTTTTTTTTTTTTATTATGAGAAGGTTTGTTCCCCTCCAACGGATTTCTTTTTTGGAAAGGAATGGATCTTCAGGAGAAAAAACATAGGGCAGAGAGGTATAGAATAGAAAATAAATACAAATGTAAGTCGTTTTGCTAATTATTTTATAACCACAACACATGAATGCAGAGAATGCCCTGTACAAAACAACACAGATCAAGGTGCTCCTTTAGGCAAGGCTGCAGATTTCAGTCTCTGGTATTTGGAATTTAGGCTGCAGTCCTTGTTTTGGGATGGATCACTCAGTGTGTAGCATAGTCCATGCTTTTAACCAGATTTGAACAGAAAAATGGCCACTTGGCCCAGGTGGAAGTAGATGAAGTGTTTGGTTTCATGTGTCACATAAATACCAAAGTCCCTCCCCACAGTGCAGTGCCAGGTGGGGTTGTACTTCTTGTCAAACTCCTTAATATGGGATGCAGTGTCCTTCTCTGTTATATTTCTCCAATGCCCAAGTAGCACATCCACCGAGTCCTGTTGCATCTCCTCCGATATATCGACATTTTTGATCACCGCCTTTCGGTCGCACGTGGTTGCAGTGGGGCAGGGGGTGGCTGGGGGAGGGGCTGTCGAGGCTCAGACCCAGCGAGAGATGCCGTCGCCACTGAAGCCGTGGTGCATCTCATGAGAAGGTTTAGAGAACGTAAACAACCGAAGATGCTAAGTTCCTAAGGAACCACCGAGAGCACAAGATAACCCAGAACCAGGAGGCGGGGAGCGCTCCCCACACACAGACCCCA